ATGAGTGCCTTCCTGACAAATTTAATAAAACTCCTGGTAGGCCTTTGTGAACTTCGACCATTGACTTATGTGGATTTCTGGAATATGATTTTCAATCGCTTCAACTAACATCCCTTGCCCTTAACATTGAAGTGATGATAGGTGAATATTGTCGGACTTTTGTTGACCCGCCAATAGTACTTCAAGCGTTGGTTTTATTTCAGCTGATTAAGAAAGGATGTTGTCTATTTTGATGTAACTGCTTAAAGATTCTTTAGGTAAAGATGAGGTGTCCATAATCCTAAGTTAGAAGAAGAAGACAACGGACTAAAAAAAAAGTAGATTTTAGACAAAAAAAGAGAACAAAGAAAACAATTTTTTTTTAAAAACAATTCTTTTCAATAAATGTCACCATATACACATAAATTAAAAATTGAATTAAATACTCTATTATTTTGATTAATATACTTAACAATAATAATTAAATAAAGTTGATTTAATATTATTAATAATGGTAATAATGATAATAATAATAATGATAATAAAAATAATGATAATAATAATAATAATAATAAATTTTTATCAACACCATCATTATCAGCACGTCATTGATGACCAACATGAAAAAATCAGACACACAACCGAACATTTTTTAAAGGATTTTCATAGTGTATCCAACACTTGAAAAATCCATCACGTGATGTCATCAACAACAAATTTAGACAACAACAACATCAACAACAACAACATCAACAACAAGATTAACAACATCAACATCATCACCAACAATAACAACAACAACAAGCTCAAGGACAACAACACCATCGTCACCACCACCAACAACAACATCAACAACAACAACCACAACATCATCAAAAACATCAACATCAACCTCATCATCACAATAACAAAAAAAACAAGAAGTTCAACAACAACATCATCGTCACCCCCAACAACAATGTCATCAACAACAATGTCATCAACAACATCATCATCACCACCAAGAACAACAACCCAATCATCATCAACAACAACAACATCATCAACAACAACATCAACATCAACAACCAGAACAACATTAACAACATCATCATCATCATCATATTCATCACATCAACCAACATTATTTATTACACTTCCAGGCAACACTACCTTCATCCATCAGCCTACTGGGCGTCGGGTTATTTTCAACTAAATTCACCCTCGTTTGAAAAATGAACAACATCACACAGAAATTAAAATAAAATATTTATGAATAAATAAAATGAACACAAAAAAAACGAACAATGCAAGAACAAACAAACGAAAAAACGAACGAACGAACGAACAAAGGAACGAACCTAGGACGTGTTGGACAATGCAGCAGGGCATGACGACGATGGAGACGAAGAGGTCAGCGATGGCCAGTGAGACCAGGTAGCAACTCGTTGTGTTGCGCAACTTTTTCTCGGCCCTGGTAACAATTTTATATGAAAAATTTTTATTATGACGTTACAACAGGATTATTGCAAGAATAGAACAATTACTTTACAAGCGTACAAACCAAATAATGTTGCAGCAATAAACAATATTGTTGCAACAACAAACGAATATGTTGCAGCAACAAACATCATTGTTGCAGCAACAAACAATAATGTTGCAACAACAAACGAATATGTTGCAGCAACAAACAACAATGTTGCAACAACAAACGAATATGTTGCAAAAGTGTTTTCATATAACTGCCTTGACAATTTAAACAAATTTCAAACTCGAAGTCAATCACTCAACATCCGTGTCAAATTTTATAAAGATCAAACTTAAAATTGGCCAACCAGAACAAATGCACATGATTTATAATAATTTGTCATTGAGAACGAACCGTCTACATATTTCATCTTTTTTAGTCACAGCTAATTATTTTCAGCTATGGAAACTTCATCGAAACATTTTTCATTTATATAAGTTTTTGTTTGTCTGTGTGTTTATTTGTTTGTTTGTCTGTTTATTTGTTTGTCTGTCTGTCTGTTTATTTGCCTGTCTGTTTATTTGTTTGTTTGCTTGCTTTCTTGCTTGTTTGTTTGAATTATTTTCGGCTACGATAAATTCTTATTGTTAAAATTAATGTCATAATTTGGCGCAAATATTACAGACGGACAATGTTTTAAATGATGAAACTAACTATCGAAGCCTAGCACACAATACACAGGTAGACATGTTGCGCAATTCTGGTTTCTGAGACGTGACTCGGCTTGTCTATGAGACGTGTCCATAGATAAATCCTGGTGTGTACGCGCTAGTTGCGAAAGCGAAAATCGCACCACTCAAGTCTCCCATTATGCAATTTATAAACTTGTCAACTTTGAAATATTTTGGATTTGTTTTGTTTTTTATTTTTTCAACTTTAATATTGTTTAAATATTTATTTTATTTTTAGCCTATTTAATAATACTTTTTAATATTTTCAAGTGAAATTTGAGTTCTTTCAAGTTTTTCAAAAAAATTTTTCTTTTCATTTAAAATATAAGCATCATTTTGTTTAAAACCGGTTTTTTTTACATTTTGTCGAGGAACAATAAACAATGCCGTTGCTTTCATGATTATTGTAAATTTTAATTTATTTTATTTTTTTTCGCAAATTCATTCAAAAAACTTCAAAAATGAAAAAGTTTAATTTTTTAAACGGCGTTACAAAGTTGTAATATATTCCATCGTACCTTCCGTGCTGGACTACAAAATAGATAGTAAGAAATTCGCATTGTAGTGAGCACGTGAGACCAGACAACGAACAGCATATCATGACGGACTATAGACCATCGTCGTTAAACGGTTCATGAACGAGTTGCGCAACCTGTCTACTAGTGTGTACTAGGCCGAAATACTTTATTTTTAATGAGTATGTAGTCAAAATAGATTTACAAATTAATTATTTTTCAATAAACTTATTTAACTATTTTAATTATATTTATATTATATTATATTATATTACTTATTTTTTTTCAATGAACTTATACAAAATACTTCTATATAAATATACTTCTGACAGTTAAGTAAATGTTTGAAAGCAGATGCTTGTGATATGTTGGTTGTGGTTTGGTCGCATCCAACTAAAGTGAAAAGTCGCAAGGTAATTTGTAAACTTTTCAAAATAATAGGTATCAGTGAAAAAATGGAAATATAAAAAACAAATAAGGAAAGAAGCAAAATTTCATTACATTCTGATGCACTCATTCCTATTATGTTCTGCTAAGCTGGTCATTTTCGTCTCAATTGCATGCAACTGATCTCAAAGTTGGTTGAACAACGCATCACAATTTATTCCTATAAACATTTATTCTGTTTGATGTTCTTTCTTTGTAGATGTACGTTCTTTTCATGTATCGAACAAATTGTTGATTCTTGGATGCCATGTTTGAAAATTTGAATGTTGCGATAATAAAAATTAGTAATAATAAATTAATAAGAAACAAATCAAAAACCTCTGGCACGCACGCTTATAAGATATTGGAGGACTGGCAGATTTATGAGCCTCGACGACATAAATGCAAATTCATAAAATTTTTTGCTACTTCGTAGTTGCTCAGATAGTTGAATTGAACACAATCATAAATTAACATTTCTCAAACTCCGTTTTATTCATGTTAACACCTGACAAACTAACAAACAACCATTCGGACAAACAAACGAACAAACAAAAAACCAGGCAGACAAACAAACGAACAAACAAATAACAAGGCAGACAAACGAACAAACAACCAGACAGACAAACACTTATGTGAAATGAAAAATGTTTCGATGAAGTTGATAGAAACATGGGCATGGCTTCCTCGCCAACAATTCGAAGAAGCCTCCCTCCTTGTTCGTTATTTGCTTGCTCGTAATGAAGTCATTTTTTTTAATTAATTTTTATTGATAATTTAGCTCTCCTATTTACTGCATCGTCTTCCATCAGAAACATTGGACTCGGTTGGAGTCGAAGGTCTTTGCGGAGTTTGAATTTTTTGTGGAGTCGTAGTCTGATTTTTTCATCCGATATGTTAAAATGTTATCCAAAAATTGCATTAATTTAAAAAAAAATTTTTTCTGGATATTTTTTTTAAGATCCTGTTTTATGTGCAGCGTGGTGCAACTATCTTTAATATTGAAAAGAAATGTTGTTAACGTGAATACAATCACATAATTTTGTTTACTACGTTTTAAGACATAAAATTGAAGTAATTTTTACTATGAAAAACAATTACACTGACTGATTTTAAGTGTGGTTTTTAAGTATTTTGTATTTGGTAGTAATAAATTGAAATTAGGATGTAAAAATTTAAAGTCGCAGTCGGAATTTTTTGAGGGTCCGGAGTCAGATATATGTTTTCGACTGGTTTCTATTACCGTGAGGTTATAATAAAAACGATGAGTTGCTGTTGTTGCTTTTGCTCAAATTCAAACCGAGCAGTAAAAAAAATTTCAACCTCTCGCATTTCTAGGAGCCTCAATTGAAAAAATATTAAAGTAGTTGACAATTGTGACACTGTTGTTTCCAGTTGGTGAGGGTGATTGAGCACGTGTTTGAATGTTGAGACTACTCGTCCAGATACAATCTCCTCCCAACTCATCTAATTCGTAGCCGTGGCATAAAAAGACACGAACTGCACTTTACAACAATGCTCAAGAATTAAAAGACTCACATCTGTGTCTTTCAACAACATGTGTTTCATTAATTTTTAACGTGCTATAAACTTAATTTACGTACATTTGTATAAAAGGTCGTGAGGTTATTGGACAAAATTGAATGTGTTGCTAGTGCTGCATCAAGCTCGTGTTATTTACAATTTTGTTCATCTGGAGGGCCGGTGTTACATACAATTGTTATCGTTCGGATGGCTTTAAAATTTGTTGCTTGGATGCAAATGTCAAACAACTTATAACATTGAATAGTTAAACTTTTAAAATTTTTTTGAGGTTCTTATGAAATTGTCCACATAAGTTTGTTACTGGAATGAACAGCCAACAATTTTGAACAAATTTTCCCTTGACCACTCTGTTAAATATTAGATCAGACCAGTTGTATTTAAAAAACTCTTTGAGATTTAACTTCATTAAATCAATTCAACACATGCCAACGAATAAATACACTGATGGCCGGATCAAAACGAACAACTAACCAACCAAACAAACAAAGAAGCAAACAACCAGCCAAACAACCAACCAAACAAACAGCCAAACCAACAAGACCTTTCAATTCAATGACTATTTAAAAATATATTACTCGACAACTCAAATTTAAATAAAAAAAACAGCTTATTTCTCATTTTAGGTGTATTACACACAAAACATTGAGCTATCATTATTATTACCTTCAACCCATTATCGTGACTCTATGTTGATTTAGTTGCTTTTTATATATAAAAAACGTATTTATTTTTAGTAGTAGTAGTTGTTAAAGTAGTTGATGATGATGATGTTGAAAAAAGTTGATGATAATTATGATGATGTTGTTGTTGTTGTAGTATTTGTTGATGTAGTAGTAATGCTACCTCTAAACTCAATAAAAAAAAATAAAAATACATATAGGGAACATTTGATGTGATGGTCGTTAAATGTTAAAGTGTCCTTAGTGAATGGAGGCTCGACATCACCAGTACAGGACAGACCAATTTATCTTGTTGTTGTCCAACTTCCAAGTTCAAACATAACATTTTAAACAACGCTCGTTTGAAATATTGTTTACCAAACTTTTAACATGAGATATTATGTTGAAGTGCGCGAAACTCTTCATACATTGTACACTCCTCTGAATCGTATGCCTATCTACATTTGGAGGAAAAAAACCTACATCAATTAGGAAAATATAAAATATTTCCGACACGTTTATTCAATTATTAGATGTTAATAATTTTTAACCCATTTAGAAACTGCGATGTCTTACTGAAAAAGTAAAGAATTTATAACATAACGCATCAGCCTTTCTTTCCTGAAAGGTTAAAAAACGAATCAACAAAACTACGTACCTCAAATTAATACAATTACAAAGAATGTAGAGAAACAAATTAAAGTTTTAAATAAATTTTGCCATGAAATTAAAATTTTTGAAATATACAAAAAGCATCAGAAAGCCCGGATGCCGGGACGTGATGTTGCTTGTTTAATTAATGTAGGCATGCATGTATTAATGTTTCCTCCTGCCTCTATGTAACGTACGAACGAATGTATGCATTTCTTATTATACACCGCCGATAATATTTTTTCCATTCTTTTTTAGATCGCTCCATGTTGATCCATGTTGCTTCATGTTGCTTAATCTACATTATTTCCTAAGTATTTATCAGATATATTAATTAAACCTAAACGCCCCTGTTTACGATCGTCTTCTTGTTCTCATTTCTTCTTAACTCGTGTTAAACATTCCTTTGCTAAATCTGCGTTTTCTTTTTCTGGTCCTTTTTTTGGAACTTTACCTTTTTCCCTGACTACTTTTCCATCACTTAAGAAATACAGAGCGGATCTTAAGACCCATCTATTTGTTAAATTCACTGAGGAGCATCGCGAAAATAGCGCTGTACAAACTACTTTGTTCGATTAATTGGTTGATTTATTTATTTGAGTAATTGATGATCATTCAATTAATTGACTGACTGACTGACTGACTGACTGACTGACTGACTGACTGACTGACTGACTGACTGACTGACTGACTGACTGACTGACTGACTGACTGACTGACTGACTGACTGACTGACTGACTGACTTGATTGGTGGCTTCCATTTTATTCACTTTAGTTGTATCGGTCGACGAACTTGAGATGAATTCCAAAGAATAAATCTATTTGCGATGTCTTATTTTTTTATGATTCTAAAAAGTATTCATGAACCTTCTAAAAAAATTATTTTGACCTTTTAACTACGTAAATTGTAACGAACAATTTCCATTATAATCTATGGTGGAGTCAATCCATTTATTTTAAACATTTTGAAAAAGTGGCCTCTTCTAATGAACTTTTTCTTTCGGTCAACTTAATAATTTACTTTTCTTCTCGTTTTGTTTGGTAAGGGTCTGGAATTATTAAATGAAAAATTCAATCCAGCACACACACAGACACACACACACACACACACACACACCACACACACACATACACATATATATATAGCTATATACATATATGAATGTGTGTTTTAAATAAGTGTGTCTTTGCAATTGTGTGTGCGTGTTTGTGCGTGGAGTGGAGGTCAAGGCTGGAGTTTGTTTGCTTCCCTGGCTAACCTTCCTTCCTTGTTTGTTTGTTTATTTGTTTGTTTGTTTGTTTGTTTGTTTGTTTGTTAAGCTTTCATCAGTGGCACAAAAATACTAGACAATAAGAATTGCTGATAACAATTTTGTTAGTGTAGCCCGGTTGATGGCATTTTTTTTATCAGCGCAATGGCAGGCAGGTCTCCCGCAGGATCTGTTGGAACTTTTGGATGAAAGGAATGGTTGATGAAACTGCGGAGAACATGAAAGAAAATTGATAACGTGCATCACTTTCCATTGCACCTAAGAAGGATGCTTAATATGCAGGATGTTTTCACGCCGATCAAACAAAACAAATGGATCACTTCAGTCTATCTGGCGAACGTTAACGCAGAAAATGTAAGTGCAAATAGTGTTGTTGTTGTTGTTGATGATGATGATAACGTAGATGATGATGATGATGACGTTTATGTTGATGATGATGTTTTTGTTGTCGATGATGATGAAAATAATTTTGATGATGACGTTTTTGTTGCGTTTGCACATGTGTTTGGGTAAATCGTCAATAAATAGGCTGGATTATGAAACAGAAACTATTTAAAAGTAGATTGAGGAGTTGCATATTAAAAACAAACCAAAATGGTGGGTAGTCATAAGTTCTGGAGTTGTCCGTTCTCAAGCAATTAAAAACATCCAACTATTTATCATATTCACTGTCAGATAATTTTTAAGCATGCATCATTCAGTATCATCCAACTCTTCAAAACCAGAGAACATAAAAATAGAAATGTAACAACATTAAAATGTAGAAAAAACAAAATTGATAAATTGCAAATATTTCACACGGTTCATCATTCCAATTAATTTTAATCATATGACAGAATGACGAATGAATTTTTGTTTGCAAAGCCAGAAATCAACATACACATAAATATATGTGCAGTACTGTTAAAATACTAAAATGTCGAATATTTAAAAACATTAAAAATAATTGGTTAAAATCTAGTATTTAATTAGTTAAATAGTATTTAAAGACCCACTAGGATGTAATACGGTCCACAAGTATAAAAGTAATTAAAAATGTTCTATCATACCGTGCAATCTTCATTTGATGCAATTCATACAGCCGATAAAAGAATTTTACGTTCTCAATAAATGGATTACAACATTTTTCAATTTTATTATCATGTAAGTATAGCAGTATAACTATAGTTAAAATACGCGCAAGAAAAAATAAATGGTCGATAGGCAATTTTTCGGCCAATGTAATTACATTTGTCAACCGCTAATTAACGCTCCAATTTCATTGAATAAACTAATTAAATAATTTAAACACTTCTTGAATACTTGGGTAACTATTTAGATACTATTAAAATAATCTAAATAATTAATAACGCTGAATAGGTTTATATGTATATATGATAATCAAAATACAACATTTTTTGTCATGTGTTCAGAGCAGGAGTTAGTATACTAGTCAATTAGAGTATTTGTAATGAAATAATTTGTGGTGAAAGTAGGAAAATATTAACATGTTAAACAAACTAACGCATTTTAACATTGAAATAAACAAATAGATATAAAAACAAAGGTATTAAGACGTCTTAACATTTTAAAATAAATAAACAAATAATTAAATAATTAAATAAATAAATGAATAAATAAATATTAACACATTTTAACATTGAAATAAATAAATATAAAAATAAAGGTATTAAAACGTCTTAACATATCAAAATAAATAAATAAACAAATAATTAATAAATAAATATTAACACATTTTAACATTGAAATAAATAAATATAAAAATAAAGGTCGGATTTAAAATTCAAAAACCGGCCGGGGCCGGATTTTAGTTACCATTTTACATACGTTAGAAAAAATACTCACATTTACGGTTATCTACATGTTGAACACCAAGCAAATAGTTAATTAATTCAAATATATGAATAAGCTGTGTGATACGCCAAATTCTGTACACAAAGATCAGCTTAATTTATGCATAACCCATGTTATAGCATAAAGAAAATTGTCCAGCTCATCTCACAATTAGTGATGTTAATATTATGTGTCATGTATGCCTACCTAACCTTTAACATACCATGTTCATAAATAATGCGATTATGTATACATATATATATATATATATATATATATATATATATATATATATATATATATATTATGTAGCTTTATGATCCGTCATATACAACTATATAGTATAAACACGTGCACAAGTTCTTTTACACAAAGATCAGCTTATAATTTATGCATAACCCATGTTATAGCACAAAGAAAATTGTCCAGCTCATTTCACAATTTGTGATGTTGTTATTATGTGGCATGTATGCTTAGCTTTTAACTTATTGACATAAAATTAATTGAATTCAATGAAATTTTTTTTTCTATTTATAACATTTTTAAATGTCGATAGACGCTTAAATCCGGCCCTAAATCCGGCCACCAAATCCGGCCGGGGCCGGATTTGAAAAAAAAGCCGGATATTGGCCGGAGCCGGGGCCGGGGCCGAACTTCGGTACATCCCTAGTCTTAACATATTTAAATAAATTAATTAGTTAATTAATTAATTAAAAATTGAATAAATAAATAAATTAATTATTAAAGATACTAACATGACGGCCATGCAGACCAGCATGTTGCCAACAACGCCAGCAACAACAAGTCCGAACAACAGCAGAAACCAAAAGTTGGTCTGGTGATGGTGGTTCTGTGATGTTGCTATTGATGTTGTTGTGGTTGCTGTAGTGGTTGTTGTTGATGTTATTTGGATGGTTGTTATTGTTGTTGATGCTGTTGGGTTTGCCGCTGATGATGACAACAGCAATAATGGTAGTGATAAGAAAGCTGATGACGACGACGACGACGATGATCCATGAAAGACCAACATTTTAATCATCCCATGCTACATTAATTAAACTAAAAAAAAACATTTCAACTGAGCTAATTACATTCAGAATAAATCCATTTATTTAGTTCTCAATTTAATTTTATTATTTATTGATAATTAAAATATTTTTAGGAGTAATTTTTGTTACGTACAAATTCTGAAAACAAGAAATATAGCGAGGGGAACAATGCAATGACAACAGCCTACCGTGCGCGACTGATTGCATGCTCAACTTTTCAATGTATGTATGTATGTATGTATGATGTATGTATGTATGTATGAATGTATGTATGTATTTATGTATGTATGTATGTATGTATGTATGTATGTATGCATGTATGCATGTATGCATGTATGCATGTATGCATGTATGTATATATGTATGTATGTATGTGTGTATGTATGTATCAATGTATGTATGTATGCATGTATGTATGCATGTATGTATGTGTGTGTTTGTATCTATGTAACCATGTATCTATATATCTATGTATGTATGAATGTATATAATTCATAAATTTAACTATCTATGTATGTATGAATGTATATACAATGTTTATATGGACGTCCCACATAAATTAAACTATCGATTAAGTATGTATAATAATAATTGTATGTAAGAACATATGCAAAAATGAATGCTAATTTGTATTCTTTTTGTATAGCTCTGTTGGCTTTTGTTTTCAAATTAACGAAATTTTTTTTCATAAATGCTTGAGTTGATGTTGTTTGCATGTATTAATTGAATTATGTAAATTTTTATTTTATAAGCATTGTCTAAAATTTAGCATAAATGATTTATTGATATTGATGTTGAAACATTTGTTAACGTTTGTTGTATTGATGCCTGGTTGACTAACTTAAATACCAAATGAGTATTACATAAAATAGAACATCGCAAAATATAAAAAAATATTAATTTAAATAATTAATTAATTATAAATATGTTTGTATGTATTTATATAGGTATGTATGTATGTATTATTATTATTATTATTATTATTATTATTAGATGATTTATATAGCGCCCATTAAAAGATTCTCACAGGCGCTCTCCACGTATTTCGAACCTATTGCTGAAAAATGAATGTCTTCAACTGCCTTTTGAAATGAAAAAACGGCAAATTGCGATCACGCAAAGTTAGCGGAAAATCATTCAAAACCTTTACTCCACAAACCACAAAATTTCGTGACCCTAATTTCAATGCTGTCATCGGCTGCACCAATAAATCACAATCATCTGATCTTAGACCAATCCTCCGGCCAATAGTTGATTTGTACAGAAACCTATTAGACAAATATTGCGGTGCCAACCCATTCAAGCTTTTATAAATCAAAACACATATTTTAAACCATATCCTTTTATGAACAGGCATCCAATGCAAATCCCGAAGCACCGGGCTCATGTGATCAAACCATTGCCCACCAACAATGATTCTAGTGTTTATGTATGTATGTATGTATGCATTAATTAAATAAATAAGATTAAAAAATATACAGCCATCATCTGTCATTACAACAGGCGGAACAATAGAACATTGAAAACTTGCCATCAGATACGTCGTCTCAACCGAAGTGTTTCAAGATTTTAGTAGAAAATAATTTTTGATGCATTGCATGACGTATAATTTATTCCACAATCAGTTTTCATTTTTAAAAATGTTATTAAATGTACAAAATTGAAAAAATATCTGGATAACAACGAACAAGTATTTGATCAGGTGACCATCACAGGTGACCTCTCTCTTCTCAGATTAATAGTGTTGCTAGAAGCTCTTACTTTCATCTACGTAGAATAAAAAAACTTTTGCTTTTTCTTGATGATCCTACTCTTTTCCTTCTTGTTACTTCGTTAGTCTTATCTAGGATTGATTATTGTAACTCGCTCTACTATGGTCTTCTGACTCTATACTCTATCCTTTAAGTAAAGCTTTTAACTCTGTTGCTCGTCTAGTTGCTCGTGACCCTTTCTTTTTTCATATATCTCCATATCTTGTTCTCTTGCACTGGCTACCTATAAAATATAGAATAATTCTTAAAATTTGCACGTTCATGTATAAGTCTCAATCTAAATTATTTTCTAAGTATTTATCAGATATATTATTTGAACCTAAACGCCCCGGTTTACGATCGTCTTCTTGTTCTCGCTTTTTTTAACTCGTGTTAAACACTCTTTTGCCAAATCTGCTTTTGCTTTTTCTGATCCTTTTCTCTGGAACTCTCTACCTACTTCTCTGACCACTTCTTCATCACTTGCGAAGTTCAGAGCGGATCTCAAGACCCATCTGTTTTCAAAATTCCTTGAGGAGCGCTGTTGAACATCGCGGAAATAGCGCTTTATAAGCTTTATTGATTGATTGATTGAGGGATAAACCGAAATGCAAAGAGTGGTGAATAGTTAAAAAAGCATACATAGGCGTTTAAGAAAATTTAATTCATAACTTTTTCAAATTATTTTATATGATTATTTTTCAACTTCATAAGTTTTAAAGGTCCAGAAAAGAGCATCAAGGATACTAGAGAAATGCGGAAAATTAAGCTGCAAAGAAAAGTTGAAACTTTCAAGATGGCCCTGGTTGGTTTGTAGACTACAAGTGCAAGTATGATAATGACCCACCAATCACTAACTGGGTTGTGGGCAGGATGTTGGTATCAAAGGAGTTCTCACTCAGCAGGCACGAAGCTCATTACGCTGGGAACTTCAAAAAGAATGTTGGAAAATTTAAAATTCATTAACAGAATAGTAAATGACCAAAATGATCTACTTGAAGACCTGGTTAGATCAGTCAATAGTACAAATTTCAAGAGAACACTGGATAAATTCTGGCAAGATGAATTTTATGTCTATAAGTGAAGATGTCAAGCGTCGTGGATATTTATATAGAAATGCGGCGAGGGGTTGCATCTACGTTGCAAAACATATTTTATACTATCTGTATACGAGGTTTTAAAAAAATATTAACACAAACAAAGAAATCGCATTTGGTTATTAAGATTTAACACTAAAAAATTGCGTTATTATATTTGAGATTCATAATTTATCACTTTCTACAGTCTGCTGATCAGCACTGACTGTGAGTGTCAGTTTAATGTGCAACGACAACAGACTAACGAAAATCATTTTCAACAGCTTTTAATCAGGCAGAGTTTGATGGAGATTGGACTTTTAAGTCCATTACATGGCCCGAGATTCAAATATCTTCAGTTGGTAGAGCCAAATTTCTTTTTCAGTCCATTTTATTCGCAAAAAAGTGAGTCAGCCTAGCAATAAATGCTTATCTAAGGTTGACTCCCATAAAACAATAAATAACAAGATATAGACATAAATTTTTAGAATAATATTGTTTTTTAAATACCTCATTGTTCTTAAATTTTCCAAAATAAAAATAAAAAAAACATTAATACATTTAACCATTTAAATGTATTAACGTTTTTTTCTTATAAATTAAAATACGTTTAACCAGTTTTCCATCGCATATTTTTATAAAATTAAACAAATTCTTCATTCAATCGATATCAGGCATCAGTAATATAAACATGCCAAAGGCAAAACACATACGATGAATCATTGAATGAGTCGTCAATTGTTACAATTTCATTCAAAGTCACAAAAACATAGTTGATGGTTCTGCATTCGCGACAAGTTCACGCACAGATCTTCAAACACGTGGTCCTCGTACAGGCATCTAGCAGAATAACAATTAGGTAAATTTTAACAACCGACAGACATTTTCTAAATGGCCATTGCAAATTTTTCCGTCCTGAATGAAGATATGAAGAACATAAAGATATATAGATAATATATATGTAAAATTGTAAGTGGTTCTGCGTATGTCAGAGCTGCAATAATAAAGACTACAAACCTTAAAAATATGCTAGGAGAATTTATTACGTAGCGGCATATTAGCCAACGTGTGCAACAAACAGTTCTGACTGAAACGTTTACATTACATTAACTGGTAACCATGGAAAGAAATGGAAATGCACATTAATTTTTAAAATTAATTCGTATTTTTAAATTTTATGAAAATTAAAACAATGCAAATAATTATTTTTCAAAAACAAGCATTTTTCAGTTGAAGTACAAGTATTTTTAAATTAACAAAATGGCAACTTGTTTACCAAATATTCTTGATCACACTTTCATGATCATCTATGACGTGTGAGCTGTTTGCTAATGTCTGATTGATATCTCGCCATTCCAGATTAGATTACCCATAAGTTTAAAAAGTTCAACAACTTTCTTACTAGCTTATTTGTTTTGTATTTTTAAGAGTGAAACACAGCAACAACGATTTTATATCATTTTATAACATAGACCAAACGTAATTCATATCTAAATAATGAAATAAAAAACGCGAAAAAATTACACCATTTAAACAAAACACAACGAAACATTAGAAAATATTAACAACTGTTCTTGGCGGTTCTTCTAGCTGGTAACTTCAGACAAACGTTCTCAGTTATGCCAAAATTGATACGTACGGATGAAATCAACGCTAGGTCAAAATCATTACTTTAATGACTTTATGGTCTAGACCTACCTACCTTTTAAAGTTGACACGCATGTTGAACTCTAAAAGAACTTGAAAGCAAAAAAATTATCAGAATTATTAATTAAAATAATTTACCAAAATAGCCCGGAGGATAGAAAATAATTATCCAAAATGAACACCGTCAGACCGTTGAAGATCTGGTCATTAGGACCGATACTCAAGATGTCGCATTAAATAATTCTTCATGTCGGATGAAAAGAACTATTCTAAATCTAACAAGCGGGTCAGTTAATAATATCAACTCATCTGCAGCAGAAAAAATTTTTGTAACTGAATGTGTAAAAAAACGAATCCTGTTAGCCTGATAGAGAAGATCATTTTGTCCGCATTCACGCCCAACTACAGCAAAGCTGGACAAGCCGCCACCTCCGCTTTCATCATCCTGATAACATCAAAAAGTTTATCTGGCCAACTATTGCTCGATACTTTAACTTTTATTTGTGAAGCAAGGATTTTCTTGTTTTGTATAATTCATCAAAGTTTAGGGATTTAAAATATCTTTAAAATGCAATGTTGATCTTTTTTATGATTCTAAGAAGCCTGGTTAAATCTGTTAAAACCGATAAATGTGTAACATTCTTATTCGTAGGTTTCTATCTCTTTTTCCACTTTTTTATCTCTCTTCTTTCTCTCCCTCTCTCGGACTTTCTTTATCATTATGACTGAACACACACACACACACACACACACACACACACACACACGCATACATCCACACAAATACAAATTAGGTAAAGATTGTCAACATTAGTCAGATGTTGGCCACATTGAAATTGAAACACTTTTGAAAATTGTATTACTTGCTTTTTTAATTTTTCGTTGGACTTAATTGTCTTTTAAATAAAAAAGACTAACGCAGTAGCTTTTGGTTTGAAATAACACGTCATGCCTGTTAGAAGAATGCCAAGTTGGTTATTTCGACCGGCAGTTTAATGGGATCAACCGCATTTTTCAAATCTCAGTGTGGTCTGATTATCCGGCTTCTACTTTAGTTGTCCGTTCAATGGTACTGTTCATCAAAGATGAAAATATTTGCGCCAGACATGCACACTAGAGCCCTCCCTACGCAGCTCGCGGTCCTTGCTGTTTAAACCACAAAAACTAAATCGCAAGTACGCTTTTTTGCGAATGGAGTTTTTAAAACGTGCAGTTTTTTGCGGCTTTTTATATTAAACCGCAAATCACCACAATTTATTAAATAAAATTTTATACAGCTTAAAATTTTTCTTTAAAAATCTTTATTTTATCCTTTTTATCAATTCCATGCCTTTGGACGCTCTTCTAAAGTTTCAACCAATCTTTTCTTTTCCTCCTTGAAACTTGAACTGATCGTAAAATAAAAAATTTTGACATAGCATTGTAAATGTGCCGAGAAAAAGGAATTAATTAATTTGATGATAATTAATTTAGTTCAAACAAGACGTCATTAGTTTTGTCGACCCGGCACATCCAACCAAAAATGTAAATGAACTCGTCTCCTATGAACTGGAATGCAGCATACAGAGAGAAGAAACTTCGTTTGGTTGGGATTAAACCGCGCAGAATTCTGATGCACGCAGCACATGGATGTCTTTACATGTTTCATGATTATTATCTACAGCCATCTAGTGGAAACTGTCTTTCGATGTTGTCTGTTCTTAAAATTGTACTCGGATGTGTGGCATCGGCAACAAATTAACAAAATCATATCAACAATTTGAATAGACTTTTGGTAAGAAATATTTATGCTATAAAAGGTTAAAGGTCACCTTCACTTGTTGAAAAGTGTGATTTTAATTTTTGCAAAAAACAGCGTTCTCTTATTCACGCAATCGAAACCGTGGCAAACAATGTCAATGGTGGTTTTATTTCTTACCGGGTCAATGTAACGGGCAGAAATGAAATCAAATTATGAGACAAACAACAAACACACAGTGTTTATAACACACACACACACACACACACACACACACACACACACACACACGCACACATACATTGATGGGCTGGGATCTCTATGCATTCGATCTCTGTCACCGCACAACAGCGGCAAGACCAGCAGACGCCTTTAACTACCAAGCCATCACGCTGCCCAGTAAATTATAATAGCTCATATCTATCTATATTCACTTTAAAATTTTTTCAGCGCCATAATTTGAAGATTTTTGAAATGGAAGGCAGCTGTTTGTGAAGTTTTATAGTTGGCGATGTTTAAGTTATGACGGCCGCACACATAACTTCTGTTAATCGCTGCTGAATAATAAAGAAATAAAAAGCAAATGATGAAGAGCTGCTTTCTTTATTGTCGACAGGGACCTGGTTTGTTTATTGATAAGTGTATGACGACGTCTCAATGACTTCTTTGCGCATTCGAGCATGATCAATATAACTCTTTCGTGTTTGTTTGTTGTTTTTGTTCTTTGTTCGTTTGACTGTCTGTCTGTCTGTCTGTTTGTCTATCTTTCTGTTCATTCGTTTGTTTTTTATTTCTTTGTTTGTGTTTGCTTGTGTTTGTTTGTTGTTTGCTTGCTTTTGTTTTATTGTTTGTTTTACACCTTGTTTCTGCGATTGTTCGATTGAAGATATGTGTTTTGAAATTATTTATTAAATATTTATTCTTGAAATTTTGAATTCGTCATCAATGTAGCTTTTGTGGCCAGTATTTTAAATGACTTATTGTGACAATTTATGGCGTTGAGACAAACCGTCAAATGACATATAGGCAGGATGCACTAAATCTAGAGGTACATCAGTCCAACTCCTCTTTCCTATTTCAAGCGCTTTTAATGTGTGCGTGTGTGTTATTGAAACAGCTATTAAAATTGTCTGAGGCAGCATGTCTGTTTGTTTGCTTTCTGAATGGGCCTGATTATTTTAATGTTACACTTCATTTAAACTTCTCCACGTAGACAACCCAACGTTGAGATTTCATGACAGTTTTGACTCCGAACAGAGCTTGACCCAATCAATGACTTACAGCCCACTCTCAACATGGTTCCATATTTTATTTTTGTTTGCAGAAAGAAAGACCACTGCGAACATTTTAATCGTTTTGATTTTAATGTAATTGAAATAACTGTACATTGCATTTTTTAAATAATCAACTTCTGTGATGAAATATAGTGAGCAAAGTTTCAGAATAAAGGCATCTTTCCGCATCATATTTTGCACCCTGCCAACATTTAAGTTGCACAACTTACGGTTAAACTTCTGTTCCAGATTTTGTTGAGAATGTTCGTGTTATCAGTGATGAACTTCTCGAATAATACTAATTTTGATTGTACGTTATTTGCGTTCTTGCTCCAAGTTACATATCATCGTAGGTGGTCTGAAGTTTTGCAAAAGATTCATGATCGCTAGGATGAAATACGAATAATTTCTTACTGCTCAACTGAGTAGTCTGCCAAAAGAAGCAACATCACAAAAATACAATATCAACATTTCTTCGTAAAACTCAAATCATGTAGATTTATTTGTTATTTGTGATAATAAAACTAAAACCGACAAGCCTGTAATTTAATTTGTCTCGAAAATGATGAATGATTAATGAACGACGTCTGAATTAAAAGGGCAGAGAATCAAAATGTTTATAACAATTTATATCTTTAAATAGTCGCTGTGAAAATTTTGTTTTATTTCAAATGCAAAATAAATAAAGATTGTTGTGCAGGTTTATCAAAGAAAGACTGCAAAGAAAAATTTCACGTTTGGATTGTAAGGTTTGCATGGT